TGTGCAGTGAGTCAGGACTGACTTAGAAGAATTCACTGCTGGCACGCTGGGTTGTTGCTGAAAGGCAGAGTATTTTGTTGATGTGCCTTCATTCAGACCCAGGGGTCTTCCACCTCCTTTTGGTTTTCAGCAAAGCCAATACCAGCTGGCTTTTGGTACATGCTCTTATACAGAGCAGCCCTGGTGACCTTTGATCCTCAGAAGATTTGGAAAAAAATGGCCCCCAAGACTGTCCCCCACTTGCCTCAACCTGGAGCTCTCCAGAGAGGCTGGGGTGCAACTGACACTCACCTGGAAGTAGAGAAAAGCTTCTCAGCAGATTTTGACATTTTGAAAGAAGCCAGCAAGGCTTGAGTCCCCAGGGGAGGAAATACCAGGCTCCTGATGAGGTGGTGGGGGCAGGGAGGGGGATTCAATATAACAGTCCTCTATCTGACTATCCAATTGTAGCAAGAGGCTGGGGAAAGGGGCAAAGGCAGCGGGTGGATGAATAGGAGGGGAGAACTGCAAATGGTAACACTGCTTCCCCAGGCCCCAGACCCACTAAGGGTCTGATCAATGGTAAATCAGTCACTGAAGATAGATGTTCTGTCCCCAAGCAGGGCATGGTTTTACCCCTAACTCCCTCCTTAGGAAAGCAAACCAGGCAGGCAAGGGAAACAGATGACTAATCAGAATGGAAGCTGAGAAGAACTTGATTAAATTCCAAGGTTTTGCAGGGAGAAAGGACAAACAGAAGTTTCTCATGGTATTTATCTAGGGAAGAATTTCACCGAAGATGACTACGATGTAAAGCACCTTTGGAATGGTGTCAAAGCTCAACACTTGTCTCAGGTGGTATTAGCACAAAAGACAACCTCGGAGATCTAATAACGATCCTTCAGAAGAAAAAAAGTGCAACATATCAACCATTACCTGCTGTTCTTCACTTTCTTCTCGGTAAACTCTTACTTGATCTTCAAAACCCCGGTCCAGCATCTCCTCTTGGGGTAAACCTTTCCTGGTACCTGCTGAGGTATTTATGCTCCTGCAGTGTTTTGCGTTCCTCTCTATTTCAGCACTAATTGCATTGTTTTTTAGTCTCTCTGCACACATATCCCTGAGGGTCAAGGGCAGGGAGGATTGTTGTTCATCTCTGCTTCCACGCCAGGGCTATGCACATGGCAGGCATTGGGTAAATGGCTGGAGATGGGTGAACCGATTCATCCCATCTACTATCCCGGGCCATATGCAATTGGCAAGGATGTTAAAGATGAGGATAATAAAGTCATCCACACACTGTGCTCTGTGACCAGGGACTTGAGTGTCACTGACCTCACCCCCAATAGACCCAGAGTATCAGCAAGAGAAATGACTACTAAAGATGAACGTAAGAGAAAGTGTCTTTATGGCTGATTTTCTTCCAGTTTTGACAAACAAGAGCGTCAGAGAAGGTGAAAAATCCCTTCTGGGCCAAAGGGACAGAACTCACTGTTCCCTCAGGGAGCAAAAAGTCTTCTGAGTCGGGAAGTTCTTCCTCATGTCTAGCTCTCATCTGACCCGCTTCACTTGTGCTGTTGCCTTTTGCCCAGTTCTTGCGGAAAATGCTGACCAGCTGCTCCTCCACCACCACCTGTCTTTTGCTGACTCAGGAAAGCAGGTAGTGGCCGGGCCCCTCTGTGTTAACAATGATAAGCCCCCCTGTGGATGCTTAACCAAGCAGCAAATGTGGGTTACAACTGGGAGGATGGAAGCTGATTCTAGGAGCTCCAGGTAAAGAGGCTTTGAGCAGGTAGAGGCAAGGCTAAGTAGAGGAGATGGCCTTTCAAGACGGGAAGAACGTGTTTTCTATTAATTTGCTCAGCCCAGGAAACGTTTCTGAAGTCCGTGGCTAAGGTGATGTCTCGCACGAGGTAACAAGGCTGTTTCCTGAGCTCTGGAGCTGGGACTCAAATATAACCCAGCGCTTGGGTCTCTGCCTCCTGTCGGCTCTATTTCTGAGAGGTATTTGGAAAATCGAATCTCAGCAACAGAGCCAGGATGATCTCGCAGGCCTGTGGTTTTGAATCTTTTTGGGTCACGGACTACGTGGAGGATTTGATGGTGAGTAAGAGAGTGAACATAAACCTCAAGCCCTGCTGGTCTCTGTGTCATGCTTCCAGGAGCTTTTCAGTCTAAAACTGCTTGGCAGTCTTATGTAACCTCGGGAAGACTCGGTCTTTCCCCTTTTCTCCAGCACCCTCAAAGTTCTTTCCTTCTTTTCCAAGGAAATGGGATTTCCATTTTAGAGGAGGCCCTAAGGCAATACCTCTCTCTGTCCTTTCATCATCATGCCCTGCAAAGAAGGCCAGTGGTCCTTGTATTCATCACCCCTGCCCCATTTTCAATATCAAGCCCCACTCCCCAGGATTGAAGTTCTAGGTCATGATTTTCAAGCTGCTTCTGTCTAACTGACTGTGACTTTCAGTTCTTTCTGGTGGGGTCAAAGCCTTCTCTGCTTCTTACCTACAACCCAGATCTCAAGGGTTACTGCAGACCAGGAATTACAAACTCTGATACCTAAAGGAGACTGGTAGGTAAGGTACATCAGTAAAGGAGGCTGGGTAATTTCAACATAGAATACTTGGTTGCATATTAAATGCATAAGAATATTCTTCATTTTCACAAAAAATAAAATCTTTCTCATCTTTCCTGAAACATATATACCTCTTGGTCTATTTCTACCTGCCACTTATAATAAAGACAAAGATACAAAAAGATTTAACTTTCATCCTATTATAAGAAAATTAATAGCACTAAAGTTATTATAAATGACAATGGACTCTTGGAGGAGACAATAGGGAGTGGTGGGGATTATGGCAAACTAGAGAGCCATGTCTTGTCTAGAGGGGGCAGCTGCTATTTAGCCTATGCAGATTGTTGCCCTATAAAATGTAGGTTCACTGTGGTCAATTGTGCACTTTTAAAAGAGATGATGTAGATATATTTATGTAAAAATTTGAAAAATTGGCAGTAAATTTAAAATATAAATATAAATTATCTTGAAGGACAATACAGTGTAGACTTAACAAATCACATCTGCAGCCTGGATCTGGCCTGAGGCTGCCTCTTTCTCCTTCTGTCCTTCTTTGTTTTGGGAGGGTTCATATGGCAACACCCCTTCATTTTGAATTAAGAAAGAAAATATAAGGGAATTTTAAACTATATTTGTTCTTTAATCGTTAGTAGACAATAGTTCCCTAATGCTCACAGTGTGGCCTGATTTTTGAGGACAGCACAGTAGAAGTATACAATTGTGCTTTTCCACCAAATATTCCCAGGTCTCATTGCCAGAGGGAGAGTCAGCCAGCATGACCACGAGCCTGACCTACTGTGGAATCCCTGATGTCTTTATCTTCCTGGCCAGACATCAGCAGCTAAGGAAAGCAATTGCCCCGAAGCTCTGGAACATCTCATTCTCCTCCCTGAAGCTATGTAGAGAGGTTTTGAGTCATTGCTCAGATGAACTGGTAGCAAAAGGTACTGTCTGTAGATCAAGCATCAGATGAAAGAGTCTGACAACCTGGTCTGTGCCTTCCAGGCCTTGGGACAGGGTGGGAAAGTTGGGAAAAGAAAGCAGGTTATCTTCACCTGCTGAGTGACCTGGGCCATCCCCTGTTCTGCCCTCACTCTGGTCATTCCGCCCATACTTGGCTGCAATGCAGAGGGTGGGTGGAAAATTCACACGCTTCCCTAGGGTTGCTGTGGCCTGGCCGGTCAGCTGCCTGGGCAGGTGAGAAAAATGTGCTGCTGATCTCCAGCCAAATCTAGCCACTCTGGGGAACAATATTGATTCAGCTGTCAAAACACATCTCAGCAGACTAGCAAAGACTAAAAAGTTTGATAACAGATGAAGCTGGCGAGGCTGTGGGGAAATAGCCACTCTCCTACTTAGCTGGTAGGATTGGTGCAACTTCTATAGTGAGCAATTTTGCAATTTCCACTCAAATCACAAATGTACATGACTTTTGACCCCACAATTCCACCTCTAAGAATTTATTCTACTGATAAGCCCGTCAATGTGCCAAATGAAGTATTTGTACAATGTCACTCATTACAGCACTGTCATAGCAAAATATTGGCAATGGCTCAAGTGTCCATTATGAAAGAATAGCTCAATGAATTATGGCATAGCCGTACAAGATTATGCAGCATAAAAAAGACCCAGGACCCTCTTTATCTACTAATTGGGACTAATCTCCAAGATATGTTGATAAGTGAAAAAACAAGGGCAAAATAATATGTGTAGTGTGCTCTAATTTGTAGAAAGATACGTGAAAATAATATGTGTGTGTATATTTTTCTGTCTACACATAAAATGATGCTAAAATAACACATAAAAACTATTAATATTGCTCACCTCTGGGGAGGGGAACTGTGTGGCTGAGATTAGGGGAGAGGGAAAATCTTCTCACCATGTATCTTTTCTATCTTTTAAATTTGGAACTATGTGAATGCCTTTCCTGGTAGAAACAGAATTAAAATGTAACAAATGGCAATCTCACAAGCAAAACAATACAAAAACAAAGCCAAAATCCCTATCCCAGGATAGGCGCTCCTGGTCTCAGCCTCCCAAGCTCTCCAGCCTGTTAGGATGGCTGGTTTCCATCCCAGCATAGTTTGGGATTTGGCTTCCCACCTGGGGAATTCAGGGAGGCATGGGAACTATGTGCTTACCTGCTCCTTCTCTGAATACGGGTTGTTGAGGACAATGGGCACGCTGCCCTTCCCCCAAAGGTCGTTGAAGACTCGGTCATTCTCCACGCCGAGGGGCAGAGGTTTGTGCGACTTGCCCTCCAGATCTCTGAAAGGCAAGATGGGGCAGGTGAGGAAGGGGAGACATCAGGAGGGACCGCTGGGTGCTCTGATCTGCAAGTGCTGAGTCTGTATAGAACCTCTGCGGCTCACGCATATGCTTCTATGTGGAGCCAGTGGGCTGTGCAGGCCCAGCCTGCCACGTCATAAGGTTCACCTGCAACATGTGGAAGGCAGCCCCGGTTGTCAAGCACAAAGGTGAGCTCATCCATGTTGACCCCGAGGGATTGTAGACTCCCATCTTTGTGGACATCATTTCAAGATGGACATGGTACGGATTTTGTTCAACTTTCCCCCTTCCCCATTTCATAAATCAGGGAACAGAAGAGGCCCATATCCTAGTAGAACTCCATGTACTGTGAAGCCCTCAACTTAATGTCTGTGACACATAATGGTGGAAAAAGAGGGGGCAGGAGGGACAGAGAAATTCCGTGGGCCAGGATGATATGTCATTCTGACCTTGGCTAAAGCTTTGGGCTTTGTACAATAGCAGCTCAGGATAAATTGAATGATTTAGAAAATAAAGGGACCATAGCAACAAAAATAATGATACTATTAATAATGATAGCTAGCATTTATTAAGCAGTTACTATGTGCCAAGCACTTTATAAGTGTTTTTTTTTAATTTATCAATATACAATGTAGTTGATTTTTATGTCCCTTTACCAATTTATGAGTATTTTAATTCATTAAACCCTTGTGACAACTGTGAGGCAGGAATGATGATTAATCGCCATTTTACGGATGGGGTAAGTGAGACAGAGAGGAGCTAAGTTGCTCAAGGTCACACGGTGAGTCAGTGGCAAAGCCCAGCAGCCCAGCCCATTCCTCACATCTGTTCCACAGTGGAGGCTCTCACATCATCACCATCATCATCATCACGACCACAGTCGTCACCATAGCCATCATCACCGTCGTCATCATCATCAGCATCACCCAGCTTTGCCTCCTCCTCATCAGTGCCATCATCACCACTACA